CATACCTCTCCGAATTTACCATCCTGCAGTTCTGAATCCGCCTTGTAGCCAAGGGGTCTCCTCGGTGCTGGAGATGTTCATATGTTCCCGGGTTTCGGCACCATATGTCCCGCGCATGCTTTAATGCATCTTACCAGAGTGGAGACTGAGCGGAGACATTGAACCAAGAAAACCATCCCTATATAAAGGCTGGCCAGCCGCCTGGGACGTGTTACCCTATGAATGGCTTCAGCTCCTCAGGCTAAAATGAGCCACGGGATAGGCAGAGATCAAAGGAATGGAGATTACCCAGCGCCAGTGAAGTAATTCACATCTTGGTGTCTTTAGGCACCATTATAATGCAGGAACCGGCTTCCTACAAACATACACACACAAAAAAACCCCACACACTTGTTTATCAGAATAGTTTTACTTTGTCCTTCTTGCCTCCCCTCTTACTGTCCAAAAATTGATTTGGAAAAGTCAGAGAAGCACTGATTTCCTCTGTATGGGAGAGGAGGTGAGTAAGTGATGCAGAGCAGAGAGGCAGCCTCCTGGATCTACCCTGGAGGAAGTCAAGTGGCCATGGGCAGTCTCCTCGGGAATTACACCCAGCTGTCTGTGGGGACAGTCCTACCCCAGCACCTTCTGCAGAACTGTGAAATCAGGATGTTGGTGCCTGAGCTTGGGGAGCGGCTGTGTCAGCCTAGTGGGTGCTCAGCCTGGCTGGTCCTCTATCCTAGTGGGTACAGTCTTATAGTCACTGATGGACCAGGAGAAGGTCCACAGCCTCTCTACTATGTTTGGTGGGTTTGTTGTTATTATTTGCATTTTTCCATGCATCTCCCATTACTTACATTTTGAAAACTGCCCTAAAACAAATTTGCATTATTGTTTAATTCTTTTGAAATGAAAAGGGAGACATGAGCCAAGACAGGACTCTGAGCCTGGCAGCTTCCTTGTGGCTTGGGATGGGGAGAAGGTGAGTTCATATTTTCAGAGGGCTTAGCCTAGGGCTGTATATACCACATCAGTCTGGTATAAGATTTTTGACTTTTGAAAAAAAATAAATGAAAATGTAAAATTTAAAAGTGAATTACGTTTCAGTTGTATGGATAAACCTGTGTCATTTCTGTCCAGCTCTAACTCCATTTTAGGTACCCACAGATGCTAAGTGACTACCAACAGGCTCTAGAATACCTAGGAGAGGAGTTGTGAGTCAGGCCCCCAGGCTAGTGGGTGACCCCAGGCTCTGGCAGCTGGTGCCACCTTCTATGTGGCTGTATTCTAGAGTTAAGAGCCACTTGTCCCCCAGATGGTGTTCAACAGTTGAGCACTGTGATCCTGTACCCTGTGTGTCTTCTTCCTTCTCCTGGGTCACAGCCCCTCCTGACCGGACAATCCTCCCCTCCATGCTGGTTCCTTGATAAAGTCCTCTCAGGCCAAGTGTCCAAGTCTTTTGATTCTTGTTTCTATAACCCAGAGCACCTGGCAGTAGACACCCATCCTAAGGGAGACACCGTCAGTCCTGAGTGTAAAGTCATCTGCCTGGTGCCCTGCATGAGTCTAGACTAAAGCCAGCAAAGCCTTTAGGACACTCTGGGGCACAAGAGCCCACAATCATCATCCCCAAGTCCTAAGATACCCAGGCCAGCCCAGCCAACCAGCTGGCTCCCTCATCCCCATCTGCCCCTGCTG